GAGAAGCTAGTTGATTCTTTGTTGTATTTATACGCCACACTTGTGGCGCCCATTTGTGCCGCCTCAGAACTGGCGCCGCCGCACCTTTAGTGGTTGGACGTGGCCAGCAACCAAGCAGCCTCAGCTGGCCGCATGAAGCGCGCACACCTCTGCAGGGGTAGAGTTTGGGTCTGGTCAGCCAGTGAGGTCCAGATTGCTAGATCCGCTCCTGCTCCTTTATCACCTCCTCCTACGGCTACGGCTAGAGACAGTGAGGGCGTCGCGGCTGTACCGTATTTCACGCCTGCCTCGAGGCACCTCGCGCCCCGGTGCTCCCAGCGAGAGAAAGCTCGCAGTGGACAAGTCTATGTGGCGCTCTTCGCTCCGCCTCCTCCTAACCCTGATCTATCCATCGAGGCTGTTATCAAGTTCCTCAATGCGCCTAACAGGGTGATCGCCCTCCCACTAGTGTGTCACACCTGACATGTTTCAAGTATTTCAGATGTATATTGCAAGTGTTTTATGTAGATATTACAAAAGTAGATCGAGATGTTGCATATGTTGCAATGGTTATACACGTATGTTACAAACGTCTGTTCCAAAAGTTTCATCTGTTTTTCAGACGTAAGTTGCAAATATGTTTATCTTGATGTTGTATATGTTTCACGCATATATTGTAAGTATTTTATCAAGATGTTGCATAGGCTTGCAATCTTTCAAGTGTTTTTCAGGTGTTTTGTAAGTGTTTTATCTGTATATTGTAAAAGTAGATCAGGTGTTGCACATGTAGCAATGCGCATGAGAAGGGCGCGAGCGGTCCCTACGTGTCGTTTGGTGTCGCGGGTGATGTCCGAGTGGTGCGGGCTCGCGTGGGCGCATGAAACGCAGGCGAGGGCGTGCTAGCGTGAGCACGAGTGTCCAAACATCTGGGCGCTAGCACTAGCGTTAGTAAAACTGCTATACCCCATGATATTCAGTTTTGAATCATTTTTTCATTCTAGTTAGTCATTTTTTAAACTTAGATTCATCCATTCATATATGAAAATTATAGAAACTGACAACATCTGTTGTTGATGCAACTAAATTACCATAAAAATATTTTATAAAATATAATATCATTTATCCATAACAAGTCAACTGACTCCATCTCGGAGACCGCAGGGATACCTTAAACCATTTTCGTTTGGAGTTGGATGGACTGTACGCGAAGCCATTTAGCCCGTTTAAAAGCGTGTAAAAGCTACGTAATTGTAAACCGTTTCAATTTAATAGTCATTTTATTCCGTTTAGAGATAACCAGAAATAAATAACCCAGCCACTAATAAGACTGTAAAAGCACGTAGTTTCACGGGTGTTGGATATAGGGATTAAAGTTTAGTCTCTATCACATCGGACGTTTGAATGTTAATTAGAAAGACTAAACATAAATTAATTATAAAACTCCTCGCAAATTAATCTTCATCTATGCAATTAGTTTTGTAATTGTCTATGTTTAATAATCTAAATTAGTGTTAAGCATCCGACGTGAAGTAGTCCCTGTCCCGGGACTTAATTAAGTGGAAATCAAGAGACTCACATTTTTTGTCACGCCTTATGAAAGTCGAAGATCGCTTCCTTCATTTATCCACTTTTAACCTTCATAATGGTACACAAATTAGGTTCCGGGAGGATAGATGGTTTGGAAACTCCACTCTCAAAGAACAATACCCATCTCTATACAACATTTGTAGAAAGAAACAAATATCTCTTTTAGAAGAGCATTAGTTGGGGAAAATCTACTTAAATGGAATGAGCTAGTTATGAGGATTGAATTTGTGCAATTGGATGACCAACGAGATTCCATTAAGTGGAGCCTTTCAAAACTGGATCTTTCAATGTACAATTTTGTGAACCAACTTGCCTTGCCTCTAAACAAATCAATATGGAAGTTGAAAATACCCCTTAAAATCAAGGTTTTTATTTGGTTCATGCTAAAAGGGGTAATTTTAACGAAAGACAACTTATTAAGAAGACGTTGGAAATGAGATAATCGATGTTGTTTTTGTGACAACAAGGAAACCATCCAACATATCTTTTTTTGATTGTCATGTTGCGAGATTTGTTTGGAGAGTCCTTACTATAGCATTTGGATTGCAAGCTCCTATAGATCTAGAAGATTTATCTGGAGTGTTTAAACAGGCCAGCATATGCGTTCCCTAATTTGCGTGGGGACAAGTGCAATTTTGTGGTCTATTTGCCTTTGTAGAAATAATGTGACTTTTGACCCGAAAAAAAGATTACTCTTATTTGCAGGTTATTTTCAGGGTAACTTATTGGACTCGTTTCTAGAACATCCTGCAAAAGGATTGTAACGGATTACCTTTGAAGTGGGCATGTCGCACGCACATTGAAGACTTTAGCTATGGAGATCTTCGCCAAGCATGGGTGGTCGCTCTTTTAAAAGAATTAGTGCTTAGACATACGCTCACTTCCTTGGTTTCGCTTTTTGTGAGCTTTTTAATTATAACCGGAGTTTAAAGTTGTAATAAGAGTTGGTTGCGTACAAACCTCTTGCAGAGGCCAGAATACAAATTCCTTTTTCTAAAAAAAACAAACCCGTGCATTCCTGACTCCGTATACCGTACCGACGTACCGTATACGGTACACGCCTATACACATGAATATACATCCATCAGCAGCACCACAAAAGCAACAAGCACAAACCCATCGCCAGAATCCAAAATCAAAAGCATCGATTTGACCTCGGCATCATCCCGTACCGCCCCGCGCCCCCCGCGCATGGAACGAGATCCTCTGCAGTCGGCTAGTTGACTTTCTTCTGCAGTCGGTTGATCTGCACCGTCAGTTACGATCGAACGACGAGGAGATCACACTAGTCTCCCACAAGCACAACACACGGCCCATCTCAGCCCAAGACGGCTTTGCCTTCGTCTTCCTCGTTTGGAGCTAGCCCTACGCATCGCGATCGCGATGCCCAGCCGGAGGCGACGAATCGCACGGGCGGCGTCACGACTGCGCAGTGCGCACGTGGATGCTACTTGGAGCAGTGCCCCTCTTCTTGATGATTGTGGCTCGGAGCCGAACATGGCTTGAGCTACGGCAGCGGCAGGAGCTCGCCGTGGCTACGAAGCAAGAAGCGGCTTGTGCAGGATGCCAGCAACGACTATGCAATCGAGCAGGTACTTCTTTATTGGATTAGCTCCGGACGCATGGAAGAAATAAACCGGCACTCGACGGCGCAGGGCCGTGGCCGCCTACACGCGCTGATCTGGAGGGCGAGCAGCTACCGGCGCTCGACGGAGCAGGGCCGTCGCCGCCTGCATGCGCCGAGCTGGAGGGTCGCGCGGCCGTCGGCGCTCGACGAAGCAGGGCCGCGGCCGCCGCGGCAGCGAGAGTCTCCGGCCACGACGGTGAGCTCGGCCTTGCAGCCCTGCAGGAGAGATAGAGAGGATATAGGAGTGGCGTCACCAAAGGAGCGGATCGACCCTGCAGCACCAAAAGAGCTGGTTGCGGCACTGGCGACGGCGACGGCAACGAGCTGCAGCGACGGTGAAGGCGGCGCGAGGAAGGATCCCACTCGCACATGGGCACACGGCAATCTCATGCGTAGGTACGGTGTCGTGGGCTTAGATGGGCTACCGAAACTCTCCCATAGGACCTGCTAGATGAGTCTTGTAAGTCTCACCGTCTCTCTCTACAGCTTCCATGGCTCTCTGTCTCCCTCTCTCTCCTATTCCGAATACTCTTTCCCTCTGGCCTTCACCTTTTTCTCCTTTTTATTCATATAGGCCCGTTCCAATCTGTACTATTCAGCTTTTTTTTTTTCCAGTCAGAACTGTATTTTTCTCTCTCGTAACAATTTAGTCAGAAAAAGTGTTTTTCAGTCAAGTTTCTGCAAACCGAACAGGACCATATGGTCTGTTCATTTGGCTGTGGCTTGTCATAAACGATTGTAAATTTTCAGTAAAAACAATATTTTTCTCTCGCACAAATCAGCAGTACTTCTCGAAACAGCAGCCAACCGAACTGATAAAATGTTGAGGTTCCAGAGCAACCAGCGGGTTTGAAGTTTGAACTCAGTCCACCCACAAGCTCTCTATCTGATCAAATGCGGCGAGATCTGTGTGAGTAGGGGTGTACAGCACCACGGGTTTCTCGTCCTCCCCTTCCGCTCCTTGCATTTGCTCCCGGCGGGCGGCTGCTCCGGGAGAGCGCTTCTTGAGCTACTCTGGTCAGTTCTTGGAGCCGGCAGTTGCCATTTGGGTTATTCTTTTGGTGAGTTTTGCCTGCCATTTCTGGGTTTCAGTTCTTTCTCTTGCTTCCAAGATTTGCTGTGGTGATTTCGGTGTCTTCTTTGAGGCTTGCATTGGGTTTACATTAGTGCTCGTCCTGTCCAACGTTTCTCTCTTGGACCTTTTCGGGTTGGTATTTGAGTTATTTGTTGGGGAAAAATATATATACTAGTTTTTTTTTTGTTCGGGCTTCCAGTTGTCTGCTTTTGGATTTCAAACAACGGGGAACACTTGCCTTTTCAGGATCTACTAGTATCAGGCATTTTCATGAGCTCGTCAGTTTGGCATTTGGGGTTCAAAGCTTCGCCGCGTTATCGTTCAAAAAAAAATTGGAAAACTTCAACATTGTCGGCTAGTTTTGTCACGCAGTTCATTTCGCATCACGTGGCGGCACTTCCTTTATTTTTCTGCCGTCGCCGAATTTGGGCGCCAGCACCACCGTATCTGCACTGACAAATTGTCGCCATTAGGACCATTAAAGTTGTGCTTTGTAATTTTTTTTAACTACAGTACATTTATGTGTCAATAGCATGAGTACTTCCCCTGCAATAATGAAGCTGCCCAATGCTTAAATGCACTTCTTTACTCAAGTTAATTGTTTCCTTCTTTGTTTTTCCCCCATTTTATTCAGTCCAAATCACAACAATGCTAAGGAAAATCGTTCTGATTTCTTGCATTTTCTTTTCAGGACAAGGGAACAGAAGCGAACAGCCCTGAGCTTAAGACAGCATGGATCAGTACGAGGTGCTGGAGCAGATCGGTAAAGGAGCATTTGGCTCTGCTGTGCTGGTCAGGCACAAGCTGGAGAGGAAGAAGTGAGACCACCACACTGCTTTAACACTTTTTTTTATCCCCCGTCTTTGTTCCACTTTGATCATGGGGAGTCTGAATCTGAACATGCGCAGGTCATGTGTTGAAAAAGATCCGTCTAGCGCGTCAGACAGACCGCACTCGCCGGTCTGCCCACCAGGAGGTAGGCACCTGCTGCTTTGCACGGATCAATTTGTGCCTGTACTAGTTATGATTCACAAACAGTGTCTTTAGTTTACCAAGAATGGCTTGTCAATGTCAACTCTCCGTCCAGAATGATTAGTGTTTGCCAGGGTTTGGTTTCCCACAAACTGTTGCTCTCATGATGATGCTACTGCTTACCAAGCTGAGATCTGCGCCCTGTTCGTTTGGGCTGGTTTGGCTTATAAGCCATGACTGAAAGTACCGTTGATTGTTTTGGTGTGAGAGAAAAATACTGTTCGTTGGCTGATAAGCCATGGCTTATAAGCCAGATACGAGCAAGCGATCAGGCTGCTGAACTTAAACTTTCTGATAGCGATGTTTCTGTTACACTTAAACTGAAATATCAATGCAGATGCAGCTCATTGCTACAGTGAGGAATCCATTCATTGTGGAGTACAAGGATTCATGGGTGGATAAGGTTAGTATATAAGAGTAAATAGGAAAACGAGTTACTGTATCAAGCGTATGATACCTAGCAATCCTTGAAAGAGAGATAAAAAAAAATCCTGAAAAATGCTTGCATGAGACTTCCATCAATTCATTAACTAGTAGGAGACGTTCTCTAAAAAAAGTTAACTAATAGGAGATTTTGGACCAAGTTGGTACTATGGGAAATGATTTGTATGTTTCAATTTCAGGGTTGCTACGTTTGCATTGTTATAGGGTATTGCGAGGGAGGAGACATGTATGTATCTCTCTAGGTGAAATATGCTATTAATGCTTCCATCGTTAAACTTTCTAGAACATTTTGATCACTAACAAGTTCCTTCGTTGAGATGTTGTTTGGAGATCCCTGGTAACAAAGGCATGCGTATGAATTGTTTTCTCACTCTGCAGAAGCTTTGCCAGTGGCTAGTGCAGTTTCTCATGGCCCTTGACTATTTGCATGCACATCACATTCTTCACCGTGATGTGAAGGTAATAGTTCTGCTAAGTACATCATGCGTGTTTTTGTACAATGTGAAAATATGTTTTCTGAAGCTGATCTGTATTTATTTCAGTGCTCAAATATATTTCTTACTAGGGATCAAAATATAAGACTTGGTATGTCAGTAATCATTACTCTATACAAGGCAAGCTTTGTAGCAAGTACATAACTTTGGGCGCAATTTAATTTGCCTTATAAACAAATGCAGGTGACTTTGGGCTTGCAAAAATATTGACCGCTGATGATCTAGCATCCTCGGTTAGCACTTACAACACTTCGCTTCGCTCGATTCTGTTATTCTGTACCATCATTTTCATTGTCACCACTCAGCACATGTTGCCCTGGTGCAGGTTGTAGGAACACCAACCTATATGTGCCCAGAACTTCTTGCTGATATACCTTATGGTACCAAATCTGACATTTGGTCACTAGGTAAGGCATCAGTGAAAATGTATGAAATGCCGTACGCACGGTGCTTCAGTTATGGGTTGGAATGTAATTCTTGTTTCATTCCGTTTCAGGATGCTGCATGTATGAAATGACTGCACTCAAACCTGCTTTTAAAGCTTTTGTAAGTACTGAAAATGCTTTTATTGGCTGCTTATTTGTTGCCTGTGCTTGCTATTTGATTAAATGGTTAAGTACTTTTTGTTCTGTTGTGTTCGACTTATGTGGGTGGCTTTAGCTAGGTTCACACTATTTTTATGCTGTGTATGTTACTGCTTGGGAGTTTGAGACAAATTCTGGTGCAGCTGAATGCTTAGGCATGCCTGATTTGGAATCTACATATAAAACTGGCTCTGCTTATCTGACCTAATGGTTAGATAACCTTGTGGCTCAACTAATTCTCTGATCATTTCTTTGACAGGATATGCAAGCCCTTATCAACAAGATTACCAAGTCGATAGTATCACCTTTGCCAACCAGATATTCTGGTGCATTGTGAGTTTATTGGTTTTATATGTTTTTTACTTCTTTTTAATTTTAGTTTAGTTGTGGCATTTTTTAACAACTTTTCACCTTATGCAGTCGAGGACTTGTTAGGAGCATGCTACGGAGAAGTCCAGAGCACATGCCGAGTGTAATAAGACTTTATAACCCTCTTAGAGATCATTTATTTAAGACAATGTTTTCTAGGCCTCTATGAGTCCTTACATAACTTTCTTAAGCAGGCAGCTGAACTACTTAAGCATCCACATCTACAACCTTATGTGCTGCAAGTGCATTTGAAATCACAACCTTCCCGCAGCATAATTCCTGTTCATCAATCTCCAAGTGAAAAGAGAATGACATTTGCTGCAGAGCCTGTTTGCAGAAGCAAGGGCAGGAGGAACTCTTTAGGCTGTGAAAGGATAGTAACCTGTAGCACACCTTCCCCTGATAAAAATTCTATCAGCTCTATTAGTAGCATAAAGGACTACATCACCACACAGAGTGTCAAAGAGCTATCTGTTGATGACAGCCAGGTTGAGGGGGTTACTAGTAAACCCGTAGCATCAAGGACCCCAAATATCATGAAGACTCCAAAGGCAACTCCGTGGAAGATGATGACAACTCTAAGGAATCGGCTAGAAGCTCCACAAGCATCATATGATAGAACAAGCCATACAGAGGTATGTCATATCTGGTAATAAAAATCAGTTGAAGCCTGTTTATAACATCCATAAATGGATAGAGGGATAAAATTATCAATATATAATGGTCAACTTGTTTTAGATAAAGGGATAAAGTTATCCCAACAGATGCATCAACAGATGATGAACATTGCACAAAGACATTCATTATTACATCTTGGAAACACAGCAGAATAAACCAAAGCACCGAGACATATAAAAGTGCACATATCCTGTTAATGAGCCTCGCTTGCCCAAAGATGTATAACCATGGTTTTCAAGCATTGGCACTTGTATTTTTATGCATTGTCACTCCTTTTGCAGAAAAGAGCCAAAGACCAAACCATGTGTTGATGTTGTTAGATGCATCATGAAAAATAATCTCATAACATATAGCTTGATATCTCAATTTAGTTGTCATACTTCAACTGAACTTCAAGTTCTTTCTTTTTTTTTTAGAAAAAAATAGCTTCGTGCTTCCGTGGATAGGTTACATATCCGTAGTATGTCGTTTTAAACATAGCTGATTTTGTTGTGTGCGTGAAGATGGTAGTTCCTTTGATACTGAAACTTGTGTGTTTTCCTTTTTCCCATTTCCATCAGCAGTTTTCAAGAACACCAGTTGACAACAGGCACAGCCATCTGGCCCGCAGAGCGTCACTTCCCCTGCCAGTATTTGAGACCCCGAACCCGAAGCGCAGCAGCATGAGCATCCTGGAGCAGCTGGAGTCCCCTGACGTCTCGGTGAACTCGCCTCGCATTGACAGGATCGCCGAGTTCCCGCTAGCTTCGTGGGAGGACCCCGTTCTCGATCGTGAAGCCCTCGACACCCACCGCCGGCGCCGGCGCCTCCGTTCGTGGACCGGTCCATCACCAAGGACAAGTGCACGGCCCAGACGCTCCGGTGACAACGGTGACAACGGCAGGAGCGACGGCGGCGGCGGCGGCAGCGGCTCGTCCTCGGGTCGCGACACCACGGCGGCGTCGAGCCGCGGGTCCTCGGGGTCGTTGCTCCTGAGACAGCAGCCGAAGGGGCGGTTCGACACACGACGTCGTACCAGCAGCGCGCGGAGGCGCTGGAGGGGCTGCTGGAGTTCAGCGCGCAGCTGCTGCAGCAGGAGTGGTACGAGGAGCTGGGCGTCCTGCCGAGGCCGTTCGGCCCCGACGAGAAGGTGTCCGTGTCCCCCAGGGAGACGCCCATCTGGCTCACCAAGAGCTTCAAGGAGGCAACGGCCACAGGCTTGTAGATGGCATCACCAGTCGCTGGCGTGTAGGTCCAGGTAGACTAAGAGAAGAGATATGCGTTAGCGTTGACCGATCAGTTGTTAGTTGCTGGGAGTAGACACCGTCTCAGTGTTGCCCCAGCTTAGTTTATTACTAGCAGTTGTCAATTACTGCCGTGCTGGCTAGTGATGTACCAATGCCCCCAGAATTTTTTTTCCCGCTCAGAGCTCACTTCGACTGCGATCAGGGGTCAACTTGCTCTCTTTTTTCCCCAAACTCGTCCGAGTAACATTTTTTCTTTTCTTTAAACCTCATATTGTGGCACGTGAGGTTATCGCTGTTTATACCTGCTCCAACTTACCGACACTAACCCTACCAACGTGCCGACACGGCGATGGGGACAAGGATGCTGCTTGGCACTGTGTGCTGTGCATGGTCAGAGCTGCAGTGCAGATTCCTGCTTGTCGTGTTGCTTCCTTTTGCTTTGCATGCTGGCCTCAGGCCTCATATTCGAATTCGATTCCTTCAGCATTCCAGCTTCCAGGGACCAGGGTACTTGGTAGCAGCCTTGATGGGGCTGCAAAAGCGAGCTTTACGGGCCGCCGTGCCACATAAGCTGGTAGGCCAGCCCATGTACGCTTGCACCAATCATTGGCCCATATATTAGCGTCCATGCATTTCCCAGCGGCCGTTTCCTCTCCTGTTCAGTAGTGTTGGCTGCTGTCGTCGTCGTCATCGTCATCGTCGTCGTCATGGTCACGTAGTGTTGTATTGGTTGTCGTTAATTTCTTTTTTTTTTGAGGGAGTCGTTAATTGCTTTGTGTCTGCTGTCTGATGCATGCGTATATAGTGTGTTCTCTATTATTTGTGTGTTGGCCTCACATAGCTGTCTGATGCATGCACTATCGGTCATACACTCGGACTATGATAGTGGACTGATATGTGGGGTTTACTAATAGCCATCTGTATTTTAGTTGTGGATGTACTACTTTTAGATCGTGCCACTGTCTTGCATGTGAGCCAAAATATGTTGCCACAAATTGCTTATTACTCACTCTGGTCCAAATTATAAGTTGTTTTGACTTTTTTGGTTCATCCATTTTGCTATGTATCTAAACATATATCTAGATGCATATTAAAATGGATGTACCAAAAAAGTCAAAGCGACTTATAATTTAGAACGGAGTGAGTAGCGGTGGTGATCGGTGGTTGTACTCCTTGAGCTTATTGCAGATGGTGTGTTGTGTGGAAGTCTTTGTTGCTTAGGTTATCCATTGCTACTTGCAAGCTTAGTTGCTTTGTTAGTCATCATGTTGCTTAGCGCTCAGCTGCATCGGGTTGCAAACATTTTGCTTGTAATAACTGGAACTCAATCTAAAGGGTATCCTCCTGAAACTCTTCTTGTATAGGTCTGCCTCCTGATTTGTGGTCTTGGTAAACCTAGACCTACTAGGATTGTGTATTCTGAGTTGTAGTTCTCTCTTTCTCTTAGTGGAACACATGCTTGCTAGCATAGTACAACCTGAGTTTGGGTGTACTAAGGAGATGGACGCGGCTAATCATCAACTTCTCCCACGAGCCGGATTATTCACGTATAGAAGCTATGCTAAACATGATCCAGTACGATGACTATATTACTTTATATGCACAATGGAAGTTGAAGACTTCAAGGCAAATATGCCCACCTCCAAACTTTCACTTCTCACCCTTGCCCACACTGACTGGTCTGGTGTAGTGGTACATACGTAGGGGGCGATTCGACACCACATGCGTCGACAAAAGAGAACAACTAGCTATATATGTAGAATCCACCATAACTTCTTTCTCGCTGCCTACCACCTCGCACAAGTTCACATAATGTACATGAATGGGGGAGTGATCAACTTACGACCAATTTGTTGATATGTCGATGGACAATGCATACATTGCCATGGTTGTTGCATTCTTGAGAGTATTTTCTAATGATGGAATAAAATTCCATCTTTAGAACTCTTTTGGTTGTCAATTATTAAACTTTGAAGTGCGAACCTTCAAACAAGTGGTGTATACTTTGTGGAGGAGGGATTGGAGCATTGTTTGAGATATTGTAGCACTAGTGGGTCTTCAAGCATCATCAACTTACATGGATGCTTAGTGGTTATGGACAACTTTGACTTGGAGATGGTGAAATCACTAAGACATTGGAAGAATTTTGGGATTAAGGCATGTTTGATATTTTGAGAGGTGTTTTCAATGCCTCGATAGAGCAATGAAGTGCAAGTCTAGTGGAATGATGGAGTTGAGTGGTTCATTGGAATAATCTGACTCAAGATCAGGCAGAGACTTGATAGAGAAGTAGTTGGAAACTTGATCTCGCGTCAACATGGATTAGTGGTGACCGGCGAGTCATCGTATCATTGATGTCCTTTGTTGTGTTTGGTTTCTCTTGAGCTCATTAACATTCAAGCAATTTACATCCCGCAGACTTAATTGATACTTGTCATACTAGGATCATAGACCTTGACATAACTTTTATCATGTATTCACAATTTGTTTTAATAACATTGGCGAACCAAAATAGTTACCTCCTACAAATAGTCAAAACTATATATTCAAACCCCCTATTCGATCGGTACCTTTGATCCTTGAGACGTGGTGACCAGTCACCTCCATCTCCCATCTGCTATCACCTCATTGCCCTACCCACAATCTGCCACTTAGTACCTGCTACCCAACAACCCCATTCTATGCCTAGAGCAACCACAATCTCAGGCACCGCTAGAGATGGTCACCATGGACAACTCCACTTTATCCTAACCATTGGGACGGTGGCTCTAATGATAATCATTACTACATTTGGTTTGAGAAATTAACTCATTTGAGATGAGATGGCCTATCACGAGTTCACTCTAAGAATGAATGACTTCATCCCCCATATTTCTTCAAATTATGTGCTTTGGCAAGCGATAAGGTCATGATGGATTAGCGCATTCCATTCCATGAAACAAACATGAAAGTGTGGAGTGATGTGATCTTCGTGAGCTTATTTCAGTCGCTTATCGCGCTAATCCACATATATGTTCTCATAAAATTGGCAAAAAAGGCTCATATTTTTAGTCCATGGCCGACACCCACCAAGGCTTGTATCTAGTGCTGATGATTTAGACTTAATACTCTCTCACGTCACAATAAAGTGGTATTTTTGGATTGCCTAAAGTCAACCATTCCGAATTCTAAACATTCAAATTACTTTGTAGGTGATGAGTTTTTGTGTTTGAATTTGTTGTTAGTAGTTTTGTATTTAAAAAAAAATCATACCATACGTTTGCTATATGCTATATAATAAATATAGTAGACAAAGTTTAAAATAGATGACTTTGGACAATCTCAAAAAGATATTAATATTTTTAGTGAAAATGGGTGTGGGCTTGTGTGTTGTGACGCGAGGGAGTAATGATTTTAGAGAAATATAAATAGGTTTAGCTAGATATGAGCAAAAATGACCCATCCCATTGGCCTTATTGGATAGGACCTTGGGAGAAGTTTCTGTGCCAAAAAGATGAAAAAGGAATAACTCCTCAAGTGAATCTCCTTACGACCCAGTCTCAAGGTAGACGTGATGAAGCTGAAAATAATAGTTTTTTCAATTTGCCTATATATCTTAGATTTAGTATGAGAATCTGTTTTACCGTACGTTTTCCCCCCCAAAATAGCTCCCTCGTGGCACCAAACGGGGCTTACAAGAACAACCTAGCACCACAGTCCACATGTGCCGGAGCAGGACTGCATCTACGGTAACGGGTAGTCCGATTGCATAGGAAGGTCAAACATGACTCGTCGTCAGCAACAGGTTCCAGAAAGCGTCCTCTGTTTGCTGACGAACGACAGAGCATCATCCTCTCTATCAGTCTATCTGAAAAAAGATCGTTCAATGACAGAACGCTGCTCACTCTATAGTCTGTAGCAACGAGACACTGAAACGTCTTGGTCTACGAGTATCAGGACTTGACAAAACGAGAGGTACTCCGACAGCAATACAAGAGCCCTATGCTTGATTCTCGGCACGCAAAAACACCAGTCTCATCCAGTTATCCAAACCTAGGAACATCACACACACACATAACAGATTTTGCAGGAACTTTTGCAGGAACTTGCAGACTTCAAAGCCCATTCCCTACAGCCCTACAGCTACAGGCACGGCAGCTTTTCATCTTCCCGCTGCAGAAACCATGTGTGAGTGAGCGAGCGGGCGAGAGCTCGCCTGCGACTGCGAGGTCGTCTAAGCCATGCCGGCGTTATCGGCGGTCAGTGACCAGCAGTACGTGGTGGTGGCGGCGGTCATGACCGTGCTCGTGGACCCGCACTCGCTGTCGTGCGCCGACGCGCTCCACCGGTCGAGCCTGGCGCCCCAGGGGCACGCCGCGGGAGCGCTGGCCTGCGACGGGCACCGCTGCACGCGCGCGGGGCCGTACCTGGGCGCCACCAGCCCGCGAGCGCCGGGCGTCGCCTGCTCCTGCGCCTCCAGCGACGCCCTGCGCCGCCCGCTGGGCTGCCAGGCCGCCTCGGCTGCGGCGGATGACGACGACACCGACAGCCTCTGCCGCGGCGCGCTCTGGGACCGCGCCTTGGCGCGCGACGACTCCGTGTTCGCCATGTAGCTGGGCACGAACATCGGTTGGTCGGCCGCGCCCTCGTCGTGCTGCTGCCTCGACGGCGCGTAGAGGTACGGGCTGGCCCGCGCGGTGGCGAAGGAGAAGTCGTTGTACCGGCCGCTGTACGTGCGCGCGCTGGCGTCGGTGAGCGCGGACGGCGTCGGCGAGATCTTCTGGTATAGCTCGTTCTTGGACGGCGTGCGGCACAGCGGCGTCGCGTAGCAGCTGCTGCGTCGGGACGACGTGCGCGGCGTGCCGTGCGCCTCGACTCCGCCGGCGCCGGTGTCCACCTCCACGATCTTGACGTTCTCCTCCGCCACGTCCTGCACGCGCATTGCCCGTCAGACTCCCCTGTTCGGATGGCTGCGGTCTGTCACGTAGGGGATCGCCACGTACCTGGTGGTGCCGGAGCCGGTGGTGGTGCGGCGAGCTGCGCCGGGTCGGCGTCGTGCGCGGCGTCCGGACGGGCTTGTCGTCCTCGAGCATCCGGAGGCGCGCGGCGCGCGCCCTGTTCTGCGCGGCGACGAGCGCCTGCATGCAGCGCAGGGTGTGGCTGGCCTGGCGCCGCACCAGGTGGCCGCGCACCAGCGCCTGCAGCTTGACGAGCCCCCCGCAGCGCGTACAGCGCCTTCCTCGCCTGCAGCCAGGCAGCGTCACGTCACGCAGCCCAAGGATCGATGCGATCGAGGTCAAGTCAACAATGGATGCAAGCACCGCGACAAGTCAAGCGATAGCCTGCCGGGAAACTGACCAGGTAGGATCTGAAGACGGCCTGGATCTTGATCGCGGCGGCCTCCTCGATGCCAATGACGGTGCGCTTAGACCCCGGCGCGGACGCGGAGAGCCTGACGACTGCCGCGGCGGCCTGCTTGGCCGCCATGGCCGCCTCGGCCGCGGCGGCGGTGGCAATGGCGACGGCGACGGCGTGCTGGTCCGGGTCCACCCTTGGCTCCAGGAAGCCGTAGGGCGGGAGGCGGCCCTGCGCTGCAGCGTCCTTGGCCGCCGACCCCGGCCCTGGCCCGGGCGACGCCGCCGCCGCTGCCGGGCGCCGGAAGCTCCACCTCCGCTTCTCCTTGGCGCCGGGCGTGGACGCCGGCGTCGTCGTGGCCGCCCCCGGGACCGGCAGCGCCAGCGCCAGGTCGGGCTCCGCCGCCGGCGCGAGCGGCCCGGCCTTGTCCCTGCCCCTCCTGCCCGGCAGGAAGCTCCTGAGCCACTTGCCCGCCTTGCCCATCTGCGGACTGCGGCGGCGTGGAATCAGAAGGTGTCACTGACCCAGCCGCAGCGGTGCGGCCGCATCGCAGGCTCGCAGAGGAAGAGACCGGAAGCTATTGGTTGGCCTGACGCTCACGGCACGGCGAGGTCCGGCATGTGGCAGCTGCGTGCGGAAGCAGTGGATGAGTGCAGCGGAGGGGAACAGGGAGTCGAATGGAAAATGGAATGGAATATATTACAGCGAGCAGCGGGCGCCAAGGCCATGGCCATGTGCGATGCAGCAGCGCTGCGCGCGGCAGATCACGCCTGCAATTAACTAGCAGGAGACCAGCCCAGGACCAGGACCAGGACCGGCAGCCGGCAGGGGATCCAGCCATCCAGGCGGGTACGCACGTCGATGGCGCGCTCTTGGTTCGTTTGCCTGCGCAAGGGCGTATCCACGTGGCAAAATGTGAGAAGCTGAATGGAATTCTGGATCTACGAAACCTGAATGAACGAATGAATGGTGGATTGAGGGGTTTCGTGCTGATTGCTCATCATCAAATGTTGCAAGCAGCGACAGACTGACCGCCATTGTTGCCAACGATCTGATCCTGATACCCTTTTGTTTTGCCGCATCGTTGACAGCAACAGCTGTCAGGTAAAATCAACTGAATTTTTCCATGCACTTCAATTGTGCTCGAAACACTCCGATTGACGTGCAGGCAACAACGCCGACACGCCACCGCCATGCACTTCAGTTCCGGGCTGGATTCTGCATTTCTGCTAGGGTAGTTCACTGAGATCCACTGATGATAAGGATGACGCCACGCCATCGCCAGGAAGGATCGGTAGCTTTGACCATGCATGGCTAGTTTATGCATCGGTGGTCAGAGGCAGAGAGCTGTGTGGCATGTGGTGATCTCTGATCTGAGTGGTGGTCGAGTTTCCCCCAACCCGGCCTCCCGTTGTGAACCTGATAGATTGTTTTATCAGAGTCACACATGGCACGTCTGGCCTGACCATGGCCAGTCCCCCTTTTTAACCACAAATAAGGCCTTGTTTAGTTTCCCCATTAAAGTTTAGTCTCTATCTCATCGAATATTTGGACATATGCGTGAAGTATTAAATATAAACTAAAAAAATAACTAATTGCATATATTACGACTAATTTACGAGACGAATATTTTAAGCCTAATTAGTCCATGATTTAATAATGTGGTGCTACATTAAACATGTGCTAATGACAGATTAGTTAGGCTTAATAAATTCGTCTCGCCGATCACTAAGGACTTGTGTAATTTGTTTTATTATTACTATCCAAACACTCCCATGTGACACCCCGACGTGACACCCGATATGACATCCCTAAACTTTACTCCCTGGATTTAGGCCTTATTTAAATTCATGGTGTAAAATTTTAGGGTGTCACATCGTGTGTAATATGGGGGTGTCGCATGGGGTGTTCGGATACTAATAAAAAAATAAATTACAGAATTTGTTAGTAATCCGTGAGACGAATTTATTAAGCCTAATTAATCCGCCATTAGCACATGTGTTACTGTAGCACCACATTATCAAATCATGGACTAATTAGGCTTAAAAGATTTGTCTCGTAAATTAGTCGTAAACTGTGCAATTAATTATTTTTTAGTCTATATTTAATACTCCATACATATATCAAATATTCGATGGGATAAGGAGTAAACTTTAAGGGGAGAAACTAAACAAGGCCTTAAACACCACCTAAGCAAGCTTTGGAGCACATGATCCGATGCCAACCACAGATCAGGATCGGTGAACCTTTTAGATTACTGCCACTTCCTTTTCCAAGGCACACAGAGCAACTCCATGGCCCCATCTCTTCATACTAGGTGACGTGGTACGTGCCAGGCACACGTGGATAGTTCAGCTTAGTGCCCTCGTCGCCATCGCACCGCCGTCCGATGAAAGATCGGACGGCTTAGGTCGATCAGCCAAAGTATACGTACCCGCGCGTGGCCGAATTGACTGCGGTGTGCGTACAGTAGGGGCTGCAGACAGGGTGTGTTTAATGTTTTCACGCCACCATTCAATCTGTGGGGTTTCCAAATTTACTTGTTGTCCCGGTTCGATTCAAAGCGTGGATTTGAACGTTGTTTTGCTGTAGCAGATCGACGATCATGCATGTCATGGGAGGGACCAGACCATGCATGGTCCGCCCGTCCGTAGTCCGTATAATTATATAATAATATATTTGTTTCATTCACGATGATGATGTGTGATGGATTGCTCATCACTCAGGATTTGGTTATTGTGCTAGGTTCATTTCGAAATGGTTTGGGACGTACCACGTCCAAACTTTTGAGAACCCTTTATTACATCACTCCAAGCTTCATAAGGGCAGTCCAATAAAATAAACTAGTAGTTTCTATAACATAGGATACCATACAAAAAAAAGTACTGCTTTCCAATCCATGGTTTCTATGAGTAATAATTATTTTCTTTCTCTCTCTCCAAACTCTGGCCCCGTTCGCTGGTCTGAAACTTGGCTGAAAAACACTGTTCTGGCTGAATTGTTGTGAGAGAGAAACGCTGTTGGCTGGTTTGATGAACAGTGCAATGGGAGGGGAACCAGCCGGCTGAATTTTTTAGTTCAGACCAGCGAACTGAGCGTCTATCTTCTTCCTCCAATGAAAGTGCGGCACGAGCCCCCTAGAAACTAGTGGTTTCTCCCCAACGACGATTCCATGGTTTTTTGGTGCATTGGGTCAAGAGAAGATCTGATTTCTTCATGAGAAAACCATTTCTAGAATTTTTGCTCTCTTTCTTTATTAATTACGTTGCCATGTCAGCGTTTTACCTACATGACAAGTTATTTAACGATGATAGAAACCATCGTCAATGTATTATTGGGACTGCCCTAACTGAGCGCACTCTTCCTCTTTTCTGTTTGAACGAGTTTCCCGGTAAGTATGCATTGTTCATGCATGTTGGATTTTGTTGCGCGCCTTCTCGAGGATCACGAAACAACCGAAGCAGCGCACTGTAGCTTCTGGGTAGTCTCAGATTTGTTACGAGTAATATTGCTTAATTACAGTACATCCAATAGTATTTTCTTCAGAGTCTGGGGATTTTTTAAGATGATGAGAAGCTAGTCGATCGTTAGGATTCAGGACCGGTTGGCCGGAGCTTTGATCCGTATCTGACTTGGCGAGCTTAAAAAAAATGTATGTATCCGAAGAAGGGGCTAGACAATTAATAAATATACTTTATGCAACTAATGATTTATGGGAGAGGTAAACAAATGCCGGATAGGCTGGAAAGCACGCGGTGTCGGGCCCTGTTCGCTTGAGCTTATCAGCTAGAATCAGCTCTACTTTTCAGCTATGGAAATAGTGTTTTTCTCTTAGAATAGATCAACGATACAAATCAGCCGCAACGACGATAAGTCCCGCCGAATAAAGCTTCGGATCTCGAGCACAGGGCATCCATCGCGCGCTAAACTGTCAGCCTTGTGTCACTTATCCACTGCTTGGTCAATTACGGGTTATAATTAAATAACTCCCAAGAATTATATGGAGTACTACCTTGCCGAGTACCGCTGGGTGCAAATGGAATGAACTGGTCAGCAACTACTGTACTTACATGTCAAAATAACCTTGTACGTATGCATTATTATGTATGCCACAGCACATTTGGTTGAACTCTTGCATACTTACGCATGACTGAGATGGATTCGAAAATGGACAATTACTCAAGTTATTAGTTTATTAGGTTTTGTTTTCTCCAGCAGATTAAGTACTACGACTTTAACAAAAAAAAGATAGCAGATGGAGCCAGGTGTCATGCATTTGGTCGTGATATATATACTCGTTTTCGAACGAATTTTCCATGTCATGATTGGCTGATGCTTAGGCCTGGTTTAGTTCCAAAAAATTTTCATCCTAAACTATCACATCAAATCTTGTGGCACATGTATGGAGTATTAAATATAGAAAAAAAAACTAATTGCACAGTTTGGTTGGAAATCGCGAGACGAATGTTTTAAGACTAATTAGTCCCTGATTAGTCATAAGTGCTATAGTACTAACATACGCTAATGATGAATTAATTATGCTTAATAAATTCGTCTCGCAGTTTCCAAGCGAGCTATGTAATTAGTTTTTTATTAGTATCCGAAAATCCCTTCCAACTTCCCCAAAACATCTGATGTGACATCAAAAATTTTCATTTCGCGATCTAAACACAGCCTTACCTTGCAAGGTTGCTGCCGGTGCAGATCATAGCAAGCTGCACTGCATGCGTGTCAAGATTGCTCTGTTACCTTGTGCCTGTTTAGTTCTCAAAATTTTGCAAAAAATTTCAAGATTTTCCGTCACATCGAATCTTTAAACGCATGCATGAAGCATTAAATATAAATAAAAAATAAAACTAATTACATAGTTTAGACGAAATTTACGAGACGAATCTTTTAAGCTTAATTAAACTATAATTATATACTAATTACTAAATAACAATGAAAATACTACAGTACTATTTTTTTAAAATATTCGCCAACTAAACGAGGCATTGTGGCATTGTGTTTTCCGTCTTTCTGCTCGCAGCTCCCTTTTCCCCTGCATTGGTGAAGGATCGCTTGCAGGGTTGGCCATCAATGCATATGCATGCAAGACAGGTGGTGCTGCCAGGTGGCTAGGGTACCCACTGCCGTACCCAGAGCTTGATCCCTGGAAACTCGATAAGTTTCAGTTTAGTGATCCCCGAGCTCTACTTCCTCCGTCCTTAAGCCCTTGTTAGTTCCAGGAATTTGGAATTTGAGGTTACTGTAGCATATTCATTTTTATTTGGCAATTAGTGTCCAAACATGGATTAATTAGGCTCAAAATGTTCGTCTCGTAATTTCCCACCAAACTGTGCAATTAGTTTTTTTTCGTCTACATTTAATGCTTCATATATGGGCCGTAAACATTCGATGTGACAGATATTGTAGCACTTTTTTAGATTTTAGACTTGAACTAAACACGCGCTAAATTAAGTCGTTTTGGAAAACGGCACTCA